GTTGAGTACAGCATGGGGCAGTATTGGACCATTACAAGGCTTCATTGACTGCCATTATAATTCATTAAACATTAATATTTCATAAACTGTAAGTTGTACAGGCACCAAAAGGCATAGCCATCATTTGGCACAGGGGCTTTACAGATATAAATTACAATGGCAGCTCTAGGACAAAGTATGCAGGAGGAGAAGCATGGCAAAGTTGAGATGACTTGGATGGGAAACGAATCACAATAGTGTGCATTGCATTGGCAATGCACACTGAACATAAATACACATATATGAAAAAAAAACTAAATGCTCTCTGGTRTTGTTCTGGGGGCCGGACCAAATGGGGTGGCGGGCCGTAGTTTGGGGACCACTGAACCAAAGTTTAACCTGTAGCTAAATGTGTGACACTCTGCAGCTGACTGAGCTGGAGGGAAGCCTGCTCCATGCAGGCCCTGCAGTGTTTGTACCTGCTCCAGCAGCTGCCTCAGTCTGTGCAGTTGGGACTCCAGCTGTTTGTTGTGGTCCTCCAGGATCTGCATGCGGGCCTCCAGACGCCCTTTGTGCTGCCGCAGGAGTTTGGCCTCAGCGATGAGCTCTGCGTCTCGTGCGCTCTGCGGCGACACCGGAAGCATCTCTGGAGGCGAAGGCAACGGGGACAGACCCTTCCTGTCRTGGGCCTTTTTCAGACGGTCGTACTCTGCTTGTAACTTCCTGWGGAGAGGACCAACACTGAGTTTTACACTTCTGATAAACATGGTTCAAAATATACTGTTGGCCTACAGGATGTTCTGTTAAACTACTGTATTTATTCATGTATAATACTAGAAATTCAACCCTAAAAATCATCCGGGGGGTGGGGGTTAGTGTTGTACACGGGTTATTGACGATTAGATTTTAATGCTTTTTAAGCTAAAAAATGTTCATACTATACTCGAGATCGTATTATACATGAATAAATACGGTACATCACAGAGTCCCTCATCAGGTTCTGATGGACTTTAGTCAAAACTGCAAACATGATTTAAAAATGCAGGAGTATTATGTTATTAATTCTTGTTTTGAGTTCTGCTACCTCAGGTGTAGGACTCATTACAGGTGAACAGGTGGTGGGCATAGTTCCACTCATCAGCTAACATTGAACAAATCTATGTTTAGCTTCATCAATTATTTTAAAAAACAGTTAGCTGACCAATTATCTTCCATTAAATTAGGTTTTGTCAACTTTAAGTCCACTAACAGCTAGCTAACATGCTAACAACAGGATGAAGTGAAGCAGACTGACTGACAGTCAACTTAGCAGTTAGCTGCTAATGATAACGTTTGCTAAATTTACTTGTTTAGCGTTAGCTTCTGCTGATTATTTTACATTTAGCTTCAACAAAGTTATATTTTTAGTTAATGGATTGTGAGCTTGCAAAGCCAATTGTTTAGTTAGAAAAAATAAACTTTTTGTTTAGCTGTTCCCACCACTGCTTATGAGCAACCAGTGACAATCCCACATCTCTAAGGTCTGGGACCCTCCAGTGGTGGGCACACAACTAAGCAAAAAGTTAGCTTCACTTACTGCTAACCTGCTAACCAAACAATTACCTTTGCAAACGCTAACCATGTAAATAAACGAGTGGATGCTAATGCTAACTGATAACTGCTAATTGTTATTTAAACAGAGCGATTTGGTATAAGATGATGAGAACCCATATGAGGGGGGTCTCATAAGTGTTCTCTCCTGCAAGGTGTCAAGGCTGACCCCATGAGGAGGTGCCAGGGTGTTGTGGCTGTACGTTTGTCCACATGCTACATCAGGGGGTCTCCAACCTTGTTCTCCTTAAGAGCTACTTTYACAAAGTGAAACTGTTCAAGAGCTACTTTTTGCATCATTTAGTTTTAAACTTAAACTCAAACCATTGAAATAACTTGAACAAACACAAAAAACATTGTCTTCAACTCACATGAAACCATCACAAAGAACACTGAATCTACATGAATGTGCTTTTTGTGTTCATCCATTCATACTGTTGTGTATTTCACATTACTAACTCAGGGTTTAACCAGGACAGATTAGTGCATACATGTCGGGTGACRGGTCTCTGCCTTTTATCCCCCATCGTAGACTCCAGCAGGAAGATTAAATTAGAGAACTTTATTGTCATCGTACAGAGAGCACAATGAAATTACAGAAGAAACCCCATGCAGTGACGCACGCTGCAGCGGGAGGGGGTTTCCCCAGAGCTCAACAGTGTGTCTCAAGGAGCTATGAAAAGTGCGTGTGAAAACACTAACCAACCATGTGACCGCGCATCGTCTGATTGGCTTCCATTCAACTATACTCAGCCAGAGATTATTTGATTGACAGCCACGGGGAAAGTACATCTATGGATTGATTGAATATTTATGAAAGTTTGTTTGGCCAGTGACAAATTACATTTTGCTTCTTCTGATATTTTTATAAGCAGCTGTTGAATTTCCAACATGTTTTGTTTCTTTAGACATCAGTCAGGCTAATAAACACCAACAAAACAAGAATCAGCAGGACAATAAAATGTTTGGCAGAGATTTACCAAGTTTTTCATGAACACAACCTAAACTTTCCTAACAAATGTGCCACATTTCTGTGTAAATACACAAACTTTTCAGTGGTATAAGAATCACCGGAAAGTACCGTATTTTTCGGACTATAAGCCGCGACTTTTTTCCTAAACTTTGAACCATGTGGCTTATAGACCGATGCGGCTTATACG